CACTCAGGTATCTTGGGTTGTTGGAGCAGACCCGAGGGTTTCTGATATTCGATATTTACCTTGGCACACGTCAGACACTTACTCACGAAGGTAGCAATTTTGGCTTTCATGTTCGGCCACCAATATAACTTTTTGAGATCAAGGTACATCTTGTCCAATCCTGGGTGAATGGAGTACTTGGTCTTGTGAGCTTCGTTCATGACCACCTCTCTGTAACCACCGAACTTCGGGGTCCAGATCCGGTCCATGAAACAATAAACATCGTCTCCTCGAGTCTCAAGATTCTTATCCATTCCTCTCAAAGTTTTGTTTGTGACATTTTCTGGTTTCAGGGCTTCTATCTAGGCTTCACGGATTTTCCCGTATAAATGAGAATGGATAGTCATTGTCAGTGATTTAACCTTTCGGCCAGAATATTCCTTCCGACTCAGAGCGTTTGCTACTACATTGGCTTTACCCGAGTGATATCGAATTTCGCATTCGTAATCATTGAGTAGTTCGACCCACCGTCGTTGTCTCATATTGAGCTCTTTCTGGTTAAGTATGTGTTGGAGGCTTTTATGGTCGGTGTATATCGTGATCTTCGTACCGTACAGATAGTGTCTCCAGATCTTCAGAGCGAATACAACCGCTCCTAATTCGATATCGTGTGTGGTGTAGTTGACTTCATGCGTCTTCAGCTGTCTTGAAGCGTAGGCGATGACCTTACCTCGTTGCATTAGAACACAACCGAGCCCCAGATTGGACGCATCGCAGTAAACCACAAAATCATCGTTCCCTCAGGAAGGGATAGTACCGGCGCGGTGCATAAGGCTCGTTTCAGAGTTTGGAATGTCTTCTCATGTTTCTTTCTCCAATCAAAAGTCACACCCTTATAGGTTAATGTTGTAAGAGGTTTTGCGATTCGGGAGAAATTCTGAATGAACCTGCGATAGTATCCTGCAAGACCTAGAAATTGATGAATTTCTGTAGGCGTCTTCTGTGCTGACTAGTTCTCAGTAGCTTTAATCTTGGATGGGTCCACATGGATTCCTTCTTCACTAACCACGTGTCCTAGGAACTCTACCTTTCGGATCCAAAATTCGCACTTAGAGAATTTTGCATATACCTTCTCTGATCGGAGGGTTTCCAGGACGCATCGTAGATGATCGCTATGCTCCTCCTCACTTCAAGAGTAAACCAGTATGTCATCAATGAAGACGATGACAAATTGATCCAAATAAGGACGACACACTCTATTCATTAAGTCCATGAATATCGCGGGCGCGTTGGTCAGTCCGAAGGGCATCACTACAAACTCATAGTGCCTGTAGCGAGTTCGGAAAGCGGTTTTTCGAACATCCTCATTGAGCACTCGTAACTGATGGTATCCGGACCTTAAATCAATCTTGGAGAAGTAACTCGCCCCTTGCAGTTGGTCAAAGAGGTCATCTATACAAGGGAGAAGGTAGCGATTTTTAATCGTCAGTTTGTTAAGTTCCCTATAATCGATGCACATACGGAACGATCCGTCTTTCTTCTTTACGAATAATACTGACGTTCCCCAAGGTGAGAAACTCGGTCTTATAAAGCCCTTGCTGAGCAGCTCATTAAGTTGACCGGATAGTTCTTGCATCTCAGCAAGTTCTAGGCAATAGGGTGATTTGGCTACAGGGGTAGCTCCTGGAATTAAGTCGAACCTGAATTCGACTTGACGTTGCGGGGGTAAACCTGGTAGCTCCTCGGGAAAGATGTCAGGAAAGTCGCACACTACGGGAAAGTCTTTGAGATCTTTCATTTTCCGGCTCGTATCAACAACATGAGCAAGGAATGCGCAATATTCCTTACGCAGGTACTTTTGGGCTTGAATACTCGAGATGATGCGAAGGCTCGTACTGGGTTTGTCTCCGTAGATTAATAGAGTTACGTTATGCGGTAGGTTTAGACGAATGGCCTTATCGAAGCACAGGATATCGACGCGATGGAGACTCAACCAGTCCATGCCCACAATGACATCGAAACTCTTGATCGACACTGGGATGAGGTTGATTGGGAAAGTATGATTATCTAGTGTGAGAGTGCAACCTATGTAGATTTCTTTAGAGCTCTCTGTCTTCCCATTAGCCATTTCTATGACGAATGTTTCTTTTAGTGGTTGTGGGGGTTGTTTAAGTAAGTGCTTAAAGTTTTGGTTTACGAAACTTCTTTCTGCTCCACTATCAAAGAGGATACAAGCATAAGAGTTATCGAGAAGGAACATACCCGTGACTACTGTGGGGTTTGCCACCGCTTCATTATGACCGATAGCAAGTAGTCTTCCTGTTCCTCCCGCATTCCCAGCTCTCGGGTAGTTTCTTTTGAAGTGTCCGACCTCTCCACAACCATAGCAGGCTTGACTCACTCCGGTACTGGGAACTTGAATGATGGGTTTAGGTTGAGATTTGCAAAACCGGATGGTATGGCCCTTCCGATTGCAATTAGTGCAGTGCATTTCACGACATGGGCCGTGATGATGGAAAGAGCACTTGGTGCACTTGGGTAGATTTCCCGCATAGGTTTTGGCTGGTGTAGAGGCAGCAGGAGTGGTGGAAGCATGAATAGCCACCGTCTGTTGATTTTTGAGGGATGATTGAGTTGACTTGCCCTTCTTCCGGTCCCACCGTTTCCTCTTGTTGTCGGACGACGTAGCTGGTGCAGTGGTAACCGTTGTGGTTGTCGTGGTTGGAGTGGAAGGAGTTTCATGATCAATTAACCTGTGGGCCAGCTCTTTGGCGCTGTCAAAGGTTGCAGGATGTGAAGATAGAACATTTCCTTGATACGAGGGCACTAAATCCCAGATGTATCGTTCGATTTTCTTGCTCTCATAAGGGATCATGTTAGGGCACATAGCCACCAAGTCACAGAACCTAGCCGTATAAGCCACTATATCTGTCCCCTTCATCTTGAGGTTCCAGAGTTCCTCCTCAAGCTTCTGAATCTCACCTCTAGGGCAATATTCCTTTCTCAGTAGGTCCTTTAGTGTGTCCCAGCCCATAGCATTGGCTGTTACTAAGGAGAGTGAATTGACATGGCCATTCCACCGTGTTAGGGCCCTTTCAGTGAAGGTAGCAGCAACGAACTTGATTTTGCTCTCTTCGGGGCATGAGCACATTTCGAAAACAGCCTCTGTGCTTTCGATCCACTGGGATAATGCAAGAATTCCTCCAGTCCCATTAAAGAAGGTTGGTTTGCAGTTCATGAAATCCTTAAAGTGCATCCCTGTGCCCGTGGATGATCTTCACCATGTCTAGAATTTCCGCCCATTCCAGCACTACTTGCATAACCAGAATTTATTTGGTCCAGAGCTGCCGTCACTGCTGCAGTTACAGCCGTTTGAAACATTTTTGGATCGAATTGTGGAGGGGGTGGTAGTGGAGGAGTTTAAGCCGTAGATCTGCCTCTGTTTGGGCGCTTACGGGGAGGCATCTCTTGCTGAAAATTTTGTATAGATAATCATAATAGTGAGAAACAATGGTGAGTATGATGAGAGTGTTTTATGAATTAAACTACTATACATAAGTTGTCAGACATGGTCATATACTGAGTAGGGAGACATAAGAGTATAGACTTTTCCCAATAGGTTAGATATCTGCCAATATTAATGGTATTACTGATGTAAATAAGTTCTGGAAAAATGGCCTAACGGTAGGCCTTACATCAAACCATGAGAAGAAAAATAATTGACAATCTAGATGGCTACATAACATACTAAAAGATGAGAATATTATATAGACAAATGGTCCATTCAAAAGTAGACGTTAAAGACTATTCCTAAGTCAAAAGAAAAGATGCGCTAGTCATCTTTCATCGGCGGCAGCGGATGTTTCTCGGGCGGACTCGAAGATCAGCCAGTTGGCGCTCCATGTCGAGGAGGTGTCGCTCGTAGATCCTCTGGCGGACTCGAAGTTCTACAACTTCAGCTCGGGTCTCGGCCAATGCTTGCAGCAAGGCCTCGCGGCTTGCTGCAAACCTCTCATTGGCATGTTCTAGGCGGCTGGTGCGAAGGGAGTGCAATCCTCCATTTGTATCAACCTCCGCGATGCGTTGGAGAGCAGTTCATTGTTGAATTCATTTGTCATGTTTCCAATTTGACGGGTTTCATAACATGTTTTTGACGTGTGGTTTCACTGGTTACAGAAAATGGAAGAAAGAATTAGCATTGGAATGGAATGGAACTCCACTTGTGAAGTGTTTTTGTTTGCATGTAATTATATGCATGGTTAGATAGAATTATAGATTTGTACAAAGATTAATAATTAATTATTCATGGATTTTATGTTTAATTTGGATTGATGTTTAATTTTGATTTTATATTTTTTTCTATATAATTATTCAAAAAGTTGATTTGGTTATTTTATAGACAAAAACATCGAATTCAGCAAAAATAATACAAAATGGTAAAATGATAATTTTCATCATTTAGCACTGTAATTCAGAGGCTCTAACCAAACAACATTTCAAAATTTAGATCTGAAAGATTCAATCCATCTTAAAAATTCATACCTCTTAAATATTCAAATCCTATCAAAGAGTCTCTAAATCTTAAAAAAAATACATATCATATGGATTATTATTATGCTTTTGTAAAATTAAAAACCTACTTCTCCTCACAAAATAACAAAATAACAAAATAAATGTTATCAACTAATAATCAAATTTGCAACTTGACCGGTTCTAAACGTCAATAATCATTTTCACATCATTTTTAATGTTCAAATTGTTATACACTTATACATACTTATCAAATTTTATTTTCGTTATTATCCCTTTTATTAGTGAGTTTTGAAAATAAGTACACCAAAAGTTTGTGATGGAAATCCACGATCCTGGATGCGAGTGAGCATTAGTAAGGCTGTGGGCTTACCTACTCAATTTTTATAATTCCAACTCTATCCCTCTATAAAGCTCTTTATTTGGTAACCTAGACAAAAGTTAAAGCGTCATTCCACCACAAATTTTCAAAAGAATCCACCACAACCACCATGAGGAAGCTCTACAACCATACCAAAGGCAAAATCCACCCTTCACCACCGCCGCCGTCCGCCACCCCTGAGCACCACCTATCCTTGCTCCCTTTGGCTATCGCCACTCTCGCCGCCGCCCTTGCACCTGAAGATCAAGAAGTCTTGGCGTATCTCCTGTCAAGTTCAGCAAACACCACCATCTTCTCGACCGGCGGCAAACCCACCAACAAGTCCGGTGGTGGAGCCAGTAGCGGCGGAGACCACCTTCCACAGTTTAACTGCAACTGCTTTAGATGTTATACCAGTTTCTGGGTTCGTTGGGATGCTTCACCAAACCGGAAAGTGATTCATGAAATCATCGATGCTTACGAAGATGGTTTGATTCATAACAAGAAAAATGGAAAGAGCAAGAAAGAGAGAAAAAACAACAAGACTGCTTCTTCTTCTTCTTCTTCTCCATCTTCATCTTCCTCTTGTCGTGTTTCTCACGCGCCGCTGACTGCTTCAGAAAGCGTTATCAACGCGCCACCGCAGAGCGAGCAAAAGGGCAGCGATGAAGAAGATGAAATCGCTATTGGGTCGTCTGAAAAAGGGTCTGTGAGAAAGATTGTAAGCTTCATTGGAGAGAGGATTTGGGGTGTTTGGGGTATCTGATCTTAGATTTGATATTTGTTATAATTTTAAGAGTAATGAGGAAAATGACCAAAGAGCAAAAGCTATTTCCCAGTTTTGTAAATTTTCCAGAAATGGGCATTTAATTGGTCTGTTGGTTCTTCCCCATGTAAAATTTCAATATTATACTTTTTTTTTAGATCAATTTGTAAATTGTGTGTTAGAAAATTCAAATTTTTTAAGCACATTTGTTCCCTATTAGAAAACCCAAAGCTGAATTTAACAAAATTTGTTTTTTGTTTTTTGGGCAAAAATTTATCTGGTATATAATATTGTGGAAAAGTAATTTCAAGAATCTTTAATAGTTATAAATGTTGCAGGAAAAACCACATCATTTTAGCCCATTGACTTGGCCACTGGTTATAACGAATGTGAGACATGATATCACAAACTTTATTACTTCAAATTCTTTATGTTCTTGCTATGCAAGAAGAAAAATAACGAATCCTAAAAAAATATAATATAAGTGTAGAAGAACAAGTCTAAAGTAATATAAATATATAATGGCATAATAATTAATGAATAGTTAAAGCTATGATGGGAAATTATCAATTATTATTTTAAGAAACTTGTAAAATATCGCTTATGATATAAGACATGATAAAAACAATTTAAAATTATATAATGGGGCACTAACTGTTTACAATTTACTGTTCAGTCATTTATTATTTCATGAAAGATCAAGTTCATGTTTATATCATATTAAATGATATTAAGTTTTGATAAGCCATATCATATAAAGTTAAATAAAATAAAAAGGTGTATAAGTAAGTAAAAGAACGAAAAAGTTGTTGAAGAGCAGTGATTGAAAATTTGATAATGGTAGGTGTCATGGAGACGACTTTGTTATCAACTCGAGTTCTAAATTGGTAAATGATTGTGATGTTATTTTATAAATTTTGAAACTGTTTCAGATGGTTGGACCCATTGACATGGGAGTTGATTTGTTTAATGTATAAAATCAAGCATAAAAATCTTAAATATCATCATATAGTAGTCTTTTAACATATGATTTATGCTTAAAAATTCGAGTATTTTGATCAAAACAAAAGTTTAAAGAGGGGGACTATCTCTCATTCTACGTCAAGTGATGCATTTTTGGATTTGAAGTTGGATATCTTTAATACATCACTAGCAAGTGTTATTTTTAGTTTGGGTTAAGTTATTGTTAACCAAACAACTATTCCTTTTGATCATATTTGAACACTATCAATTTTAGTACTTTAGGTTTCTAAATTATTATGTTACCTATTAAAATGTGAAATGTCCTTATTTAATCATGGGACCAGTTACATATTCCCATGTGGCTTATTTTTAAAACAAAAATAAATAAATGAAAAATACAAAACCGGATGTAAAATGGAAAAAGTGTAAAAGAAAAAAAAAAAAAAAAAAAAAAAAAGAATTGGAGCTTAACGTTTTATTGTCACATGATGATTTCTTCCACATAACCATGAACAAACTCATTCATCTTCACTCTCCTACCACCTCTCTCTCCCACTCCCCGCTCAACAACGTACCCAAGGGTCACATACATATCGGGAAGAGATTTTTTTTGGAATAATGAAAAACCACAATGTTGCAAAGAATATCCACTAATTGAGTTGTTAAGTTTGATTGTTCTATTAGAAAACCAAAAGGAGGAATGTGTCACTTCAAAACTGTTCCAAAAATAGTCTCGATGATACTAATAAGTATCAATCGGGAAAAAGGGGCACAAGAATTATGGAAAAAAGGACCTCCAAGGAAACAAAAAAAAAAAAAAACCACAATGTTGCAAAGAATGTCCATTAATTACATTATTTGTTCATTATTTAGAAATCATCAATAATCATACTAACGCAATGTTTTTTTTTTTTTTTTTTTTTCTAAGGCTAAAGGGAGTGGAGGTGTTAATGGAAGTGTCAAGGGAAATGCTAAAGATGTTATACAAGTCCCTATCTTATGCTAAAAAAAGGTGCTAAGAAAAGGGTGCTATGTATGTGGCGAGAAGAAATAGGAGAGAGAAAGTATGAAAATGTGTTGTGATTAGTTGATTTGTATTTTCTAATACATTTTAATTTTTTTTCTTCAAAATTAAACCTATTAAATTGTCACACTTCCACTCTGTATCTTTTTTATGTTAAACATGCTAAGCCTATGTGTCATAAAAAAAAAACTAAAAAAATCCTATGTGGCAACATGCCAAGAATGTTACCATTCCTTTTTGCCTAAATAGAGGATTGTTGTCTGACATCTCTTTTATTATTATTATCTCTTATAAAAGAATCATTTTATTAGTTGTGAGATCCATGTATTATATGAGTTAATTTTAAAAAAAAATTAAATATAAATGTCAAAATATATGATAACTTTGAATTTATAAGAAATTGTTAGTCCCCAAATCTACTTGTGTATCAATCACATCCAATTGATGGTGCGGAATCTCAATCAATTGGATGATTTCAGATCAAAATAGAAGAGAAAGAGAAGAAGAATAAGATGAATCTATGATGTATTCAATGTTGGAATGAAACTCCTTACACATAGATTCATACACACACATACACACACACACACACTCTTCTCTCTAACTTTCTCTCACACCTTACAATGCGCACACTTAAGCACCCTTAGATTATATCATTACCTCACCTACCTTACACCTATATATACAAAGGCCACAAACTCAAGGACGGACCGAAAACCCAATGGACCGAAAACTCATGGGTTTTCGGTCCAAGCTACAATTAATCCCAATATTAGTTTTCGGCCCAAATGATAAAACAATAAATGCTTAGAAAAACAAAGTATAAACCAATTTTAGACCAACAGAAAATAAGAAAAATAATGATTTATTATAATAAAAATATTTTTTATCTTTTAAATTTAAATAAAGAAAAGAAACTAATGAGCTTTAATTTTAAGAATTTTAAAATTAAAAGATAAGTTTATTAATGAAATTAATATCCATTTATTGTAATTATTACATTCAAATATTATATGAAATTTAATAAAATAAAAAAACTTATAAAATGACTTTTAGAAAAAAAAAAAATACAAAATAACCATAAAATTACATTTGACAAATTGAATGAGAGAGTGACAATTGGCAAAAAAAAAAAAAAAATATCATTTATTAGAGAGGATTTGGAAACTTAAATTTTTCTAACTTTCTTTTTAACTAATACATTAAATATATTACTATCTTAATTTTAGGGAAATCTCCAGAAAAGTCCCAAAATTTTAGTCCAATTTATGATAAAGTCCCAAACTAAATTTTGTTTACAGAAAAGCACAGAATACCGGTTAAAACTTCGAAAAAACCCTTTTCGACCGGTTTTGAAGATTTATCCGGTATTCCGTCTTTTTTCGTTAGTTTGCTTAAAATTTTGGGACTTTTCCGGAAACTACTTTATAACCAAAATATTGGGACTTTTTTGAAAATTACCATGGAATTAATGGATATTATTATTAACAAATCATTTATAAACATAACAAATATTTTTATTATCAAAAAGAAAATACACTTGTTGCTAATTTCTAGGAATAAATTGGTGGTCTAAGTACTCTTCTATTGCTTATTAACCACATCAAACTCTCTACGTTCCTCCTATGCATCGTTGTGCATATGATGATGAGATGTACCCAGTGAGTGTTCATCTAATGTTGGTGTTCCTCTTATGTTATTTAACCTAACTACCACCCAACATCCATACCTCACACGGTAACAACCATAGACTAACATACATCTATAAAATGTGAAAAAGTAAATCGTAAATGATAGTTTATGTGGAAAAAATTGTAGGGTGATTATCTATGTAAATTGTCATTCAGTGTTTATTTTTCACTATGTTTGTAATTTGATGGTTGTTACCGAATAATGTATGGAGGTTAGGTGGTATTTACGTTAAAGAACATAATGAAAAATCTATATATTCAAGAATTATTATTTAATGATATTTTCTAATAACATGTGATCATATAACGTCACACCTAATAGAAAGTAGACACTTATTAATTGTGTATTAATAAATATTATCAACTCTTGTATAACGATACATAGGAGGAGCATAAGGAGTTTGAAGTGGTCAACAAACAATAGACCATGTCGACCATTCTATTCCTAGAAATTAGAAACAAATATATTTCCTTTGTTTATTATAAAAAATATTTGTTATGTTTATAAATGATTTGTTAATAATAATATCCATTAATTCCATAGTAATTTTCAGAAAAGTCATAATATTTTGGTTATCAGGTAATTTTCAAAAAAGTCCTAATATTTTGAGCAAACTAACGAAAAAGGACAGAATACCGGCTAAATCTACGAAACCGGCCAAAAAGGGTTTTTTCGAAGTTTTAGCCGGTAGTTTGTGCTTTTCTATAAACAAAATTTAGTTTGAGACTTTTTCATAAATTGACCAAAAATTTTGGGACTTTTCTGAAGATTTCCCTTAATTTTAATATCAACTTTATATTTTATAATATAATATACTTAATTTGTTAGTTTAGATATGATAAATTCAAAATAAATTCAAGACAAAACTGCAAAAATTTTCTTATAGTATGAATTTTTTTTTAGGTTTAGTCCAGACTTTGATTTTTTTGGATAAACAGTCATTTTGAGCATGTTTGTACTTGATTTTGGTCACTCGGAAAACTGAAAATACTAAAATAACCTCCAGATATATTTTTTTCCTATTTAATTTTATGTTTTTTATAAATTAGGAGCCCACCTCTCTCTTTCTCTCTCTCTCATAGCTATGAAGATAATCCATTAAAACCTCATCATCATCTTCTTTAACACTTCATCTTCTTCTTCAAAAAAAATCAAAACCACGCCCCTGAAACATTTTGGGGTTTGTTTTTGATCAAGAACTCCACATACAAACACATACACACTTAAAATACTCATTGGAATCGATTTGGAAATTAGCAATAATGGATTCACCCGCCTACAATATCATCGACACCCTTTTGCTTCCATTCGATCTTCATAA